CCCCAAAACCCCAAAACCCCAAAACCCCAAAACCCCAGTCTGAACGTTAAAGATTGACTGTTAAGAATTACTCTTTTCTGCTCCCTCCTCTGATAAAGCCTCTCTTCAGGCTAGGCTTGGACTGTCCTGCTTGTGATATGGACGAAGGGCTTTATATTAACTTTTTGGGGAGTTTGGCAAAGTGGCTTTGGAGGAATCTGGGGGAAGGAGAGGTGTGGTTGAGGGTTGGGAGAGATAGGTGGGGTGGTAAGGGGAGGAGGGGTTTGGGCTAGAGGGAGGTTAGAGGGGTTTAGAGTACTGGAAGTGGTTTTGAAGGTTTTGTTAGGGTGGGGTTGGTGGGGTTGGTAGTCTTGGGTTTGGGAGTAAGTGAAAAATGGGGTTTCTGATGAGGAATTTGGTGTGGGCTATATTGATTAATGCTTCATTGGTAAATTGTTATCAAATACTAAAGTTTTAGACATACTGTTTCTCTTATTGGTCCAGTCACCCAGAAACCGATTTTTTTCTGATTCATATCATCGATCTCCTCTACACTCTTCTGACAGAATGACTCTCTTCAATCTTCCTCCTATATTTCATATCCTATCTATCCCTAAAACCGCAACACTTCAACACCCAAAACCCAGACCCAACTTCCCATACAAGCCTTAACTAACCTAAATCTCCAACCCCAACTACCAAACTCTATTCCAGACTGAAATTTACAAAAATTATACCTCTTTAATTTGCTCTTTCTTCCCCTTGGCCTTCTGCTCTCTCTTCTTATTCTGACCATCCTCTATCATGCCCAATCTCTGCTTCACCCTTGTATTATGACTATGAGTCGATGTAAGTTGCCTAATCTTGGAGTCAAACAGGTCATCTAGTTTCTTATCTTCATTCTCTTTACGTCTTTTTCTTCATAGGTCAATTCTTTGTTTCCTCTTCTTAGCGTCTTCGGATGAAAGGGCTATAGGGTGAGGACGAGGAGTACCTGCTCGTTTGGACTTTGGCTTGGGTTTGGGGGTTGGCTTAGGATGAGGGTTTGCCTTGGAGGGGGGATTTGGCTTGGAGGTGGGTTTGGGTTTGGACTTGGACTTGGTCTTGGTTTTGGGTTTTTGTTTGGGCTTTGGCTTGGATTTTGACTGGATTTTTATTGTTATTTCTTTCTGTAGAGATTTCTTGGGTTCTTTGCCCTATAATATCAAAAATTAAGTCTAGCTTCCTGGTTGTCAGTTTTATAGAATAAACAAGAATAGACTATAGATTTTATCTTTTGGATAGGATGTCTGTAAAAGTCTTAATCTTTATTTAGTACTTACTTTACTTCTTGATCTTGTCAGCATTTTGCTTTTCTTAGTGATTGGCATTTTACTTTAAAATATGTTAAAGATATCTAGATAAAATCTAATAATGGGGTTTTGGGGTTTTGGGGTTTTGGGGTTTTGGGGTTTTGGG